GATTGAAAATACTAAACTAAATTGAAGGGATGAACAAATGAATATGGAAATTAACCCATTTTATGTCAAAACAAATAAGTGAATATCAGAGATTGAACATACAAGATTAAATTGAACAGAAAAAGAAATGAATTGAAAAATCAAACCTGTCTAACTTCAATCAGATATGGTTTCTCACGAATAACAGAGAAAGAATTCTTGTACAGAGAAGAAGACTTACATGTTGTTTTTATATATGAACCCTATAAGAAAAATGATCAGATTAGAAGCCAATTTTGATTGAACAAGTTATTGAAGGAAGAGGGCAAGCGAGGAGAAAGGCCATCTCGTGCAGGTTTATCGGATCGGTGAATGGATTGAGATCGCGAGATCTACGCTTTAATACTAAATTTACCGATGTGCCCATCTCACGTCCTGGAAGGCATAGTAATCGAGCAGTAGATCCAACAGTTGAGATAAATTCTTATTTCTTTCATTAGATCCTATTCTTATTTGAACCAAAATCTATATATATATATATATATATATATATATATATATATATATATATATATATATATATATATATATATATATATATATATATATATATACTCCCTCCGTCCTATAATGTTCTTCCCACACACTTTTTACCCGGTCAAACTTTAATCACTTTCTTTACCTATTTTTATTAGGTATTTGATAAAATAATATAGTCTTGTCACCACTTGTTTTGTAGAACTTTTGATGTAATTTTTAAATATATAAATTTTAATTTTTAATTTTACACCTATAATCAAATAAATTGGATTGAAAATAAAGTCGGTCAAACTTTTTAAAATGAACCGGGAAGATCATTATAGGACGGAGGGAGTATATATATATATATATATATATATATATATATATATATATATATATATATATATATAGGGGCTGGTTCAAGTGAGAATGCACCTTGGTGAAAGAAATAAGAATAAAATCTAGCCTTTGGATCTGATGCATCGTGCGGCTCAGATTGCATTCTGCACTCAAATTTTGAGATAGTGCATTTTCAAAGGATTATGGTGCATTTCGACGTGATGCATTTTCAAACCATCTTGGTGCACCTAATTTTGATGCAATCCTAACTCTTAGATCTCCCAATCTAATGCACCAGATTCATTCTTATTTCTTTCATTAAATGAGAATGAATCTGGTGCTTTAGATTGTGAGATCTAAGGGTCATGATCGCATCAAAATTAGGTGCACCAAAATGGTTTGAAAATTCATCATGTCGAAATGCACCATAATCCTTTAAAAATGCACTATCTCAAAATTTGAGTGCATTTTCAAACCATCTTGGTGCACCTAATTTTGATGCAATCCTAACCCTTAGATCTCCCAATCTAATGCACCAGATTCATTCTTATTTCTTTCATTAGATGAGAATGAATCTGCTGCTTTAGATTGTGAGATCTAAGGGTCATGATTGCATCAAAATTAGGTGCACCAAAATGGTTTGAAAATTCATCATGTCGAAATGCACCATAATCCTTTAAAAATGTACTATCTCAAAATTTGAGTCCAAGATGCAATCTAAGCCGCACGATGCATCAGATCCAAAGACTAGATTTTATTCTTATTTCTTTCGTTGGAGCATTTTCACTTGAACCGACCCCTATACTAAAAAAATTTAAAATTTTTGTCGGGTCACTTGACCCCGTGTGACCCAATGTGGGTCCGCCCCTAGTTCTAGGTTATCGGATTCGGGTCAGTTTTGCGAGGTCTAATTACAACAACAACAACAAGATGAATAAGTATAAGAATAATAATAATAATAATAATAATAATAATAATAATAATAATAATAATAATAATAATAATAATAATAATAATAATTCATATGCTGTTACCTCCTAGCTATGCCAGCAATATGTTGAGAGATCTGTCATCTATTTGCTTCTTCCGCTTCTAATGTAATGCATGTACAAAAAAAATAGATATAATGTTCTACGTAATTAAAGCCTCGTTCAAGCCTCAAGGATCATTAGCAAAACCGTGCAGCGCAGCTCATCTGTAGGCATTTGTCATACAAATTACAGCTGTTTGTAGAATAGAATGTAAGCTTGCTCGTGCAGCACTTTGCTGGTTGGAATGGGTATCACAGCAGCATCGTCATAACGCAGCCATTTCCCACTTGCATGGCGTGCATCAGCTGTGTAGTGTCCCTTGTACGGATCCATTCCATGATGAGTGATCGTCGCAACCAGTTCATACCTCCGACCCTGCAGTATATAGCACCACACCCAGTCACCCACACAACCACTTATATAATGCAAAACTTTAACCCAATAGCCGTTATATAGGTATCTGACATAGTTGAATGCCATGGGGCCCACCTAGCAACGGAGATCCGCATTGGATCTACTCATGCCCTCACTGCTTAGTGAGTCCCATGCAAACCCAAAAGCTCCCCCATTTTTTTAAACAACAAAAAAAGGATAGAATCTCACCTCTGAATAGGGAGAGACGAGCAAATCACGTCCAAATATAAGCTCCAGTGGGAAGTGTACAGATTTGTGCAACTTCGTACTTCCTTCACTTCCGTAAGTAAAGCGCATCAGATGCAAGATCATAACATCAGAGAGCTCTAGAATCTTGACAGACTTGCTGGCATTGACAACTTCTGCCTGAACCACACACATTGTGATGTGAAAAATCACAGTATGTTTTTAACAAGTATTGTTAGATGATGCAATTTCAGCTTCAAGTCCAGAACTGTAACTGATTATATCAGAATACAGTCAAATCAGATTGCATGGCTTAACTGGTTATGAAGTATTTAAGAGGTCAACAATTAAAATGCTAAAGTTTTGTGCACTTTTACATTCATAGCTATTCCGTATGTTATCTATAAGAAGTGATGTGATGTAGAGGTTGGTATTCCTTGGGATACTTGGGTTAACACCTGTGTAATCCTTTTTTTTTTGAAGTTGGACATGAAAGTTGTGTTTACGCCCACGGTGAAAAAAAAAACAATAAAAATGATACTTCTAAAATACTCAAAAGCAAGTCATAAGAGCATCTGTAGGCATGAGTGTAGAATTCCCTTCCAAACGAAGTTATATATTTGGACCAGCAAGGGTGTATAAAAGAAAATCATGCTTTTACTGATTTCAAAAAATTAATTACTTTTTTTCTTTACAATCTAATCATGATGAAATTTAACAAGGATTTAGAAAGAGGAAAAGATAATGTTACGTGAAGCTGACATTAAGTTATGTTAATACATTTTACCTTTCCATCAGTAGATGTTCTATACCCTTCAAGAGTCTCTGGTGCAGAAAATAGTCGAAGTGCATCTTCTATTGTACAAACCGGGTCTGGGCAAATGTTAAGGTGGATCAGCAGAAATGGTTGTACTGTAGCTGAGGTCTTAATACCTGTACAATTTAGAGAAAGTGAGGTGATGAAAGAAAAACAAAAACAAGAGATTGTGGAGGACGGATTGTCAGGCTGATACTAGTACTACATAAGCATGTCAATACCATTTTTTATCTTACACATTCTCAATAGATTAAGAGTATATATCCTCACTTCTCCAAATTTAGTTATGAATTGAAAATTTCAAATGTTTCCTTTCCATCCTCTCCCCTCTAAATCCTTCAATCCAAACACACTTTAAATGCAAGAAATGCAATCGACTTCCCTTCTGGAAAAAAAAAAAGAAACACACATATCCAGCATCAAATTCAATTGTGGCATACCTCTTGCCTTTACAATGCTCTTCAACTGACCACCAAAAATTTCACTTAGTTTTGAAGGAACAAAGCTCTGTGTGCGGGTAATTGCAGTCTTATTTCTAGGGCCCACAGTTTCCCAATTTTCATCATCATCCACATGTATCGATGAAACCAAAGAGGAGTTCGTCCCAAGACCATTTGGCAACTGATATTCCAACTTCAGCAATTCTTCATGCATCTGGTGCATAATAAAACTGAGAAATTCTTGAGCATCTTCTTGCCTGAACAATTCCAAATTCAACAAGAACTGAGTACTATTATGAACATATAAATCAAATGCACGCTGACCCAAAAGTGGAAGAAAAACTTTAGACAAAAAGGGAAGGCCTAACTTGTGTTGAGTGTCAGCTCAGAAGCATATATATTAACTATAGATATAATCTATTATAGTAATGGAATGCACAAGTTAGAACTTTGTCTGCACTCAATACGAAAAAAGGATTTACAGTCATAGGAGAGCCACAACAACAACCAAGTGCCACACTAGAAACTCCAATTTTGCTACACACGAAAATATTGCATCAAATAACTTCATACATCTAATATATTTGTTATGTCAAGGCTATGGGGAAGTTTATAGATAGATTAGTGCCACCCAATGAAGATTGCAAATAAAATTGTAAGAAACAAAATAAATAAAAGGAAAGCAAAAGAAAAAACAAAGCATAGAAGGAAACATAGTAAAAGGAGGAATGCCAGAAATTTGAGGAAATGGACTCAGAAGGAAATATACCAGAAAGGGTGAGGGGTGATCCTGAAATCTTACTTAGGGGACAAAAATGAAGTAACTAAGAGCCAGTTTTCGTAGCCATATTCATTTGACAATAGTTAAGTGTAAGGAAATGTTTAAATAAAAACAAAAGTGAATGAAAAAAAAGATAAGCTGATCAGTAAATGAAAAATACACTCCTTCCATCCTGCAATTAAGGGAGGTGTATTCAATCCAGGCTTTGAAGGATTTTTTTAGATTTTAAAAATCGGGGAGTATTCAATTGACATTTTAATTAGTAATTTTAAATCCTAGAGCATTTAATTTGGATTTTTATAAAATCTTTTAAAATCTAAAAGTATTAAACAATTCATAGATTTTGGAAGATTTCTATTATTCATGGATTTCTGTCAATAATAAACCGACATAGATTTTGGAAGATTTCTATCAAATCGGGGAGTATTCAATTGAGATTTTAAAAAGTAATTTTAAATCCTAGAGTATTTAATTTGGATTTTTATAAAATCTTTAAAAATCTAAAAGTATTAAACAATTCATAGATTTTGGAAGATTTCTATTATTCATGGATTTTGAGGCTATTTTTCTAAAGGAAAATTGTCTCACAAATCTCTGCCCACATCCAAAGATTTTAACGGAGTTCTCCATGGAAACGGAATGCTTGTAAGCGCTGGATAATTCCGATTCTCTCCGCCGTGGATGCATATCATCACAATCCCTAGATTTTAAACAATCTCACAAAACCGTGATGATTAAATCTATCTAACTGTGCGTAGAATTAAAACAATCAATGGGTTTCACATAATCCATGTAAATCTATGGATTCTAAAAAATCTATCAAAACCTTTTATAAACTGAATTGAATACACCCTCCTATGTTCACACTTCCTTCTTTTGTTCATCCCAAAATGAACTTTACACTTCTCATTTCTTCTTTAGAAAGGAATATGTGGCATTTAAATCTTCTCAACAAATTCTAAGTTTCTAACTGCATATTTTTCATTTCATCGCTTTTCTTTAAGCTCCGTGAATTCAAACTGTCTATTTCATTTGGCGACAGAGGCAGTACATATTATATTTATTCTTTAATTTAACGATAGATTTAATAGAAGGCAGAATATTTGAAATTAAGAAATGGACAGAGGGAAAGAGAATCACATAAATAGATGCTAACAATAGTGTTGATAGAGCATTAACCCCTATACAATTCCAACTCAAACACCAGGTAAGGCTATAATGATAAATTTATAATCACCTGGACCAAAATTGATCAAAATGAAGTGTTAAATTGTTAATGCTTTGATGTTAAAGGAAGAGAAAAGAAAGCAGACTTTTTCCTAATCTTCTCCTATTGATTGAAATGGACAAAGGCTCATTTTAGTCCTTGTAACTGCACTCACAAGTCAAATTGGTCCCCGTAAGTTTGGTTTAGTCAAATTAGGCCCTATAGCTAGGAAATATGAATCAAATTAGTTCTTTATGCAAAATTTATCTTCTAAAATTCTAAGTTAACACATTAATTGACACAAAAACTAATACACGAGGCCTTTGCTCTTGCGTCAATTAACGTGATAACTGAGAATTTTAAGAGAGATAAATTCTGTTCGAAGGACTAACTTGATTCACATTTCTATATGCAGGGACTAGTTTGACTCAAATTGGCTTACAGGGTCCAAATTGATTGAGTCGTGAGTAAACTTAGAGGGACCAAAATGAGTATTTTTCCTTTCTTATCAAATGATAGTAGGGATGGCAATTCAACCCGAACCCGAGCTTAACCGACCCGACCGACTACTAAAATATCCGAACCCGAACCGAAAATAAAATAATCCGAACCCGACCCGAAATTTTTTACCCGAACCCGACATCGGGTCGGGTGTGGATTTATAATTTTGCCCGACCCAACCCGACCCGCACCCGACCCGACTAAAACCCGAATGTTTTATTACATAAAAGTCTATCTATGGATATAATGAGCACTCCGTATAATCTCTTGACAAAGTGCTACTATATCAAATATGCCTTTTATAATCATTTTTATAATCCATTAATAAAAAATGAGACAAAAAAAGACACAAAAAATTAGATTTAATCTTTTCAAAATTATTGGGGTACGTCGAATTATTTATTGGTTAAAAGTCAGGTTCGGGTCGGGTTCGGGTTTCGGGTTGAAATGTCGGGTTTGGGTCAGGTCGGATTTTTGGCTTAAAAAGTCGGGTTTCAGGTCGGGTTTGGGTTTCGGTTTTAAAAGTCGGGTCGGGTTCGGGTATAGTGCTATCCGACCCGAACCCGACCCGTTGCCATCCCTAAATGATACATACAAAGTTAGAAACTTAAAAACTTAGAATACATTACTCATACTCCATAACTGTTATGCATTTTGTAATATGGTCCTTGTCTTCCAATAGTTATACATTGAGTTTTTCAACTCTCATAATTTTTATAAACTTAGTCTTACGTATCCCGCTAGTGTAACACTCATGACTAGTGTTTCATATAGTAGTAAATTAGTAATAGATCTCCATATTTTTAAATGAAAATTCAACAATTTTGATTCACTTCAAGGTTGTTAAGGTGCCAAGGCGAGGTGAGGCGCCGGCGTATCTTCATATCGCCTAGGCGCACACCTAGGCAACAATTAAGCGACCTATACACACACACACACACACAATATAACCACAAATAGTTATATGGCACAACATATGTAATTAAAGTCTACACATAATCTGAGACAAACAAAATTAAGTATTCACAAGCATTTAGAAGACCACAAATAACAACATAATTCAAATAAAAGTTCATCTCCATCCTACTAGTTTTATCACCAAACATGCAAGTTTAAAAAATATCCTTAAACATGTCATTCATATGGATATCAATAGCCATATCCATAGACTCATCATAGACACTAGATAAGTCAACACCATAGTCATCTTCAAGATACTCATCATTATTTAGACCCAAGAGATAAGGCGATGTTAAGTCAAAACATTTTAAAATTTGGCTTTCAGAATTTAAAAACGGCACGAGATTGGGCGCCTAGGCTTGAGGAGAGGGTAAGGGGACCAAGGCATCAAGGCAAATGTAAGGAGACCAATGCGACGCTAAGGCGACAAAGGCGAGCGCCTTAACGCCTTGAGGGTTTCTCGGCGAGGCGAACAAATAAGGCGTCATGACATACAAGGTTTTAAAGGCAAAAACTAGCCCCGAGGCAATGGAGCGAAATGCCTGAGTCAGAACAAGGCGTAAGCCTCAGTTCAATATGGAAAAAATAATACTAAAATATGTACTCCGAGGTAAAACAAAATGCATAATCCATTTTCATGTTAGATTAAATGATAAAATCATAATTCCTCAATTTTACAAGAAATGATACCATATAAATATTAATTAAATGTGGACAAAAGTTCACGCAAAAATACGTTACACCATTCTTTGAAGTTTGTATTGAATTTAAAAGAGGGAGAGGGATTCTATAAAAGAAGGAACCGAAAAAATTAAACATTGAAAGAAATAGATGATAAGCAATTAAAATATGAAGCAATCCCCTTAGCCGCTACCACAAGAGAGAAGTTGTGCCACACTGCCACTGAAGTGTTAATTATCTACTAGGTTTATTAAGTTTTTTCTTAAGAAACTATACAGTGCACAATCCCAAAAGAGTTTTTGTAAAAAAGACCCAATAAATTTTTAAAAATGACCTTTATAATAGTTGAAATTCCTATTAGAGTTGAGGCTTACACCTCGGTTACGCCTTATCGCCTCAGACCGCCACCGACCGCCTCAACATTGTAAGGCTTACGCCTCAAGCATCCCTGACGCTTTTTAAAACCATGACAACATAGCGCCTTATCGTTGCCTAGGCGATGCCTTAACAACTATGATTCACTTACTACCTGGATATAATGTTCGGCTATCTAGTGATGTTAGAGACCAGCTTTACAACATTTAAAACAATTGTGGAGCAAACCTAACAAAATCCTACATATTAGGGCCTAGGGAGGATGTGTGTACATAGATCTTACCCCTGCGTGGAAAGTACAAAGGTTGTTACAATGAGACTTAGAAAAATATGGATCACTTCATATGATTCACCAAGGTTCTTTTAACCCCGNAACCCCCCCCCCCCCCCAAATCAGCACCCCACCTCGGACCTAGCTGAGCACCGTAGGCCCCTAAATGGACTGTAACGTTAAGACATTCAAGGACAGTGTCACAAAAAAAAAGACTACGCTGCATTTAATTTGGAAATAATAAGCACTTTTTTGTTATTTTTATTAAGAATAGTGTAAGTAGAAAAATATGAATTTTTTTGGAATCCAACATTCTTATTCCACTTGCTATCAAGATATGGTATATAGCTCTCTAGTGACGTGAGGAGACAAAATTTATATCTTTAAGACAAGTGAGGGATTACATTAACAAAGAATTGAAAAACAAGAATCTTACTATGCTATATCTGGTTGTAACGATGCTGTTAATACACCGTGATGACGTGATCAATAGAAATTTTTGGCAACTTAGAGGTTGTGCTTACTCCTTAAATGGAATACCTCTACTTCCTAAGACATATTGTGGTAGACTTCAACAACCTACAGAGCATCACAACCCATGCAACTAAAGCAAGGGGTAGTGTTGCTTTAAATAATGAGCCACAACAAGACACCTCATATGTGAACAATGGCGAACACCTCTTTATGTTATTTGACACTTTATTCCTACATCGAAAACAATGACAACTGGGATTTTAAGCTTACTTGGTCTTATTTTTCAATAAAAAATTAGAAATTCGAATATAAGTTATCTTAAATGTAATTTCTTAAATTAATTTTACAATTTTTATCTATGCTTTTGTATTGAGCCATGGGTCTCTAGCTTCTATACTTCCAAATACGAGTAAGGTTTGAATGCACACCCTCCTCAAACCCTACTCTACAGTGGGATTCTACTGGGTTGTTATTGTTGCAGTTCACAATTTCACAATACATGAAAATTGAAAGTACATAGAATATGTAATTTCATGATTTCCTTGGATGAATAGTATTAAATAAAGTGAATACTGCAGATGAACATTGATCTACAGTATGTTGCTTTAAAACATTGAGCCACAACAAGACTCCTCATATGTGAGCAACGGCAAACACACCTTTATGTCATTTGATATTTTATTTCTACATAAAAAACAATGGCAGTTGGGGTGTTAAACTTATCTAGTCTTATTTTTCAATATAAATGCCTAATAAAATTAGAAATTCCAAAATAATTTATATTAACTATAATTTCTTAAAATTAGTTTACAATGTTTATCTATGCTTTTGTGTTGGGCCACGAGTCTCTTGGGAAAAGCTTTTGTACTTCCAAATAGGACAAGACTCAATGGAAGGGGTGAGAAATAATTATTTATATACACGAATGTCAGAAGTCTTGAAGGCAACAATACAAAGATTGACTCGGTTGTGCTTGTACGAGAACTGACTCGGTTGTGCTTGTACGTGAATTGAGACACAATGATTCTATGAATAATCATTTTCCATTTTTCTTCCATAAAAGATCATGGTGACCAGATGATGGATTGTGCATTGTGCTGAACTGGAATAGGGTTGAAAGCACTGAAGCACTTCCATCAAGGATGCACATGCTGAAGGTAAGAATATGGGATAGCCAAGTCTGATGTGAAAAAAGTGCATTGAGAAGTCTTAGTTCCATGGTGTTGTCTTAACTTAAAAAAATTTCAATGTTATATGAGACCAGTGTAACCTTCTTCTAAAATTACCTTCTTTTAAAATTTAACAGATGACTATTACACATGCGCGGGCCATGCAATCTAGGAGGATTATCTTTGCAAGGAGTAAAAAAAATGTGGTGTTATCAATTTAATTTATTTACATCTTACTCTGTGTCTTTCCATCATCTCCGATGGAGTCAAAATTTCACCATTTTTGGCTTTGGGGTGTGATGGAATAAATCAAAATGAATCTCTAAACTATCTGCGCTTCTTTAATTAATGAAGTAGCAGTTAGTCAAACACTGCAACTTTCGATGTTGAGCCGGGGGTCTCTTTGGAAACAGCCTCTCTACTTTCGAGTAGGGGCAAGGTCTGCGTACACACACCCTCCCCAGACCCTGCTCTTGTGGGATTTAACTGGGTTGTTGTTGTTGTTGTACATCTTACTCTGTGTGACAATATTGAGGTCCGTAGCACTATGATACTCCCTCCATCCAATATTAATGTTCCCGCTTTGACCGGGCACGCAGTTTTAGGTGAAGTAAAATTGTGGTTGACTTTCCCAAAATACCCCCTCCTCCTCCACTCAGCCAGCCTCCCTGCCTTGATTCCTCCTCCTTCAACTCAACACTGTTCCTTCTTCAACTCACTGTTCCTCCTCCTTCAACTCAACACCGCCCAAAATCATCATTTACCTCCGTCCTCACAAGCAGGTCCGTACACCTTCCATCCTCCATCACATACACACCTCTGTACATCTTCCATCACAGACGCACCATCTTCCATTTCTTCCATCGTTGCCACCTCTGTACATCTTCAGATCTTCATCGACGTTGCTCCTCGTCAAGCAGCTCCATCAAATCTCCACCGCCATTGCTCCTCGTCAAGCAGCTCCATTAAATCTCCATCGACATCAGATCTTGGGTAAGAGATCTTCATTGGACAAAAAGAGAAAGAAGCTGAAGAATTTGAGGGAATATGATGCTTGTACGTCAGTGATGAGCAGGAAGAAGAAGAAGAATTGAAGAAGGGGAAAAAGAATTGAAGAAAGGGAAGAAGAAGAAAGTGGAGAAGAAGCACCGAGGAAGAAGAAGGGATGGGCAGAGAAGTTGAAGAAATGAGAATGAAAAAAAGATAAGGTTGTGATGGGTGGTAGTAAATCGGCAGGGGGAGGGAAAGATTTTAGAGATTTTAAGGGTATCTTAGTCATTTTACACTTAAAATTTTGCCAAATAAGGAAATGGGAACATTATTTGTAGACGGACTGAAAAGGAAAGTGGGAACTTTAATGTTGGACGGAGGAAGTATATCTTTACAAGTATGTGGTATAGCATCCTACTATTCTGTGCTTAGTATTTAAATGCCTGAGTATTAACTATTAATCACATCAAAATTTGGTGTTTTCTCTTTATTCCATTTGTTTATTTCACACTGATGTATTAAAAATTAGTTTTCCTAGTTTTTAGTGTTCCAGGGTAGCACATTATTAAATTCAAAGAATGAGTTTACTCTAACATCAGCATATTATGTTTAAGACCTAAAACAAACAATTAGAAAATAAGGTCAGGATGTGCACTAGACAATTACATAGTCAAAAGAAAATAAATGGCAGTATGGATTGAATACTACATAATCCACAAACCTTGGCCTGCCAGTCAAGCTATTTGGGACATCTGGAGTGAAACTTTTCAAAATCGATTCAAACATCAGAGGTCGAAAAGGCTTGCCAGTCTCCATAACAAGCATCTCTTTTCTCATCACAGTTGATTTGAGTGGCATATCAAAGTCAGATATAAACTCAACAAATGCATGTAATGTTGGATATCCAGTCTATCAATATAGAAGGTTAAACTTGAGTTAAGGCTCAACACTGCATACACTATGAGGATTTAAGCAATCATGTAATGCAAAGTACCTCTGGTATGTCACGAGTTCTAAGATCCTGCAACAGTTGAACAAATGGAGAACAAGAAAGCAGTGCCTGGAGGGTGGCATTTAGAAAGCACAAATTGCCCAAGTTTACTAAGCCTCGAGGTTGTAAAAATTTAATTATCCTAGTAGACTCATTTGATGCTTCTATAGCAGTTACTCGACAATTACCGACTTTGAAGTCCTTTGATAACTCACTCAATTCTATATCATCCGAAGATGTTGATAGCTCGGTCAAGTTCTCAGCGGAATTTTGATTTATACTTGAGTTGTTTGCTGTAATAGAAGCACATTCAGATTGCAACTGATGTGATTTATTGCAAGGTATGACTTCTTGGGAAGTTTTATGGTAATTGCAATCAATTGCACCAGCACTTCCATTTTCTTGAAAGAAGCTTGCAGATATTGATGCTTTTTCAGCACTGCTGGGAGAATTTAAATTCTCCTTATTAAAATCCTTTGATGGAAAACCCCTTTTAGAAGAATCAACTTTTGTTAGATTTGAGTTTAAAATGCCCACAGATCTTAGGGTTGCAGGATCCAACGAACCAAATGTAATCTCCACGTCATTCTTCATTGGGTGTCTTTGCAATGATTTAGTCTCATCTTCAGTAAACGACCCAAAAATTAACAGCTGATAAAAGCAAGGATATATATGAGTAAACAAAAAAGACTTAAATTAGTAATGCTGACACGATCCAGGTATCTTTCATAAATTTTGTTAAACAATCATTGAAAAGTACTCAATTTTTTGATACAGGAGAAAAAGGTTTGATATATGTGAGTATTTATTTTGAAGATGAAAGAAGGAGCAATAAACTAGTTTGTCATACTCATTCAATCCACACCTCAAAACTGAGAAAGCAAGTTTAAGTGTTTTCCCATCGAGTAGAAATTGAAAGCTTATTAACTATTTCTTGAAGACCAATCATATAATCATTTAGGTCCCCGTGTCAAACTACAAGAGAGGAATTTGGAGTCTTGGACCACTAAAGGAAAATCTTTTTCCTTTCCAATATGGAACGTGCCTTTGAAAAGTACAGCCGAAGAGTAAGTGTCATGGGTTTAATTTTTGTTCTCTTGTGGTCAAAAGCAAGGGGAAGCTGTCGGTACAGTAGCCTCATTACTGAACAAGATTTCTTAGAATGGACACCTAAGAACAGTTAACACACTACATACTTAAAGAAGCTGCCTGTCTTTTCTGATAACTGATAAGTGGTATGAGGGCAGCCACACATTACAACTATTAAAGAGAGTAGCGACAACAGTTTGTACATGTCCCCCCTTTCTAAATAAAATGAACAGAACAATTAACTATCACATCCAGTGCCTGCGTTAATTCCAATGCAGCAGATAACAATATCCACATCTTGATTCTTGACTTATCAGTTCTAATGGAATTTCTATAATTTAATATTAGAATGGATCTTTATTGAGGTATCTGAATTGGAACTCAGATGCAGACCCAAAAGGCAAGAAACAAATATTAAATAGAGGGATAAAGAAGGGCTAGTGTTTGTCCCCCTACCTAAGATGTAGGTACATTCAGTTTCTAGAAGAGAGGACTAATGTAAATGGCACTTCTAGTTTGCAGAAAAAGTTAAACACAGGACTGAGATCATGATGTGTTGGTAGACCGACGTCTAGTCTTAACAGCTTTCCTAGATAGAAAATGAAAAAGGGTAACACCCAATAGGAAAAAGGAACTTTTGGAAATATTTAACCAGAATACTCACCAGTTAACATTGAAAATGATTTTCAAAATCATGTTTTTGAAATCTTACATTTTCAGGTGTCCTTTTCCTGATTTATAGGCAAGAGAAAACTGTTGTTTAGAGGTAGATGATTCATTCTAGGTTGTGAGTAAGCAGTAATCGAGTATCACTTGGTCAATGTTTGCCATTAAGTACAACTTAAAATTCAAAATCTATTATATGCTTTCTTATTATTTACATCCCGCTTTGTCAACCTGACAAAAACAACAAAAATAGCGAGCCAGCCTTAAAAATATCAGTGTAATGCATAAAATTATGTTCCATAATTTACTTCACATATTCAAATATACAGTAAACAAATATTGATGAGCAAAAAATGACTCAGAATTTAATGCTTTGTGAATTAGGCTAGAAAAGTTGTCCCAAATCAAAATAACTAAACAGCTTGAATCCCATGAAAAAATCCTAGAAAGCACTGAATAGAAGTACCTTGCAATAACAACTGGAAATAGTGTAGCTTCCAAATTTCAAGTTTCCTCAATTATTAGTAGTAGTTTCACTCAAATACAATTGTCATCAACTTCTCATTATTTCTTTCCAGACAAATACATGTGGATCCTAAGAATCAATTCTCTCCTTTTCATCACATTCTCAACAACTCATTAAGTAATTACAAAGCAGCAACAATTCAATAGATTTGAAAATCAACAAATTGAAATATAAAACAAAATAAGAAATAGAACGATGTTGAATGCAATTGAATATTGAAAACAAAATTATGTAACAACGTTGATGATCTAGACAACGAACAAGCAAGTTTTATGCCTTTTGAAGTTAGGATACACCCTTTAACTGTGCTAACTTTTGTGAATCAGAACAGAAAAAGATGTCCAATATAAAAATTAAAAAAATTACATATCATGAATCCCCTAAAAAATTCAAGATGAATCAGTCATTGACTGAGAGGCATGGATGCAATAAAATTTGTTGGCAGTGTATGTCACTTGAAAACCATTACACATCCCTTTTATTAACTTTTTTTATTTCATTTTTTGTCTGATGTCTATCTAATTATTCTACTTTACCTTTTAAGAAAGTATTCACTTATAAACATATATAAATTTTATTGAAAACCATGTAAAGTCAAATTAGACATTAAAAAAGGTACAGCGGGAGTATTGTAGTTCCAGATTTTTAACTTTCCCACAGAAATTAGAACAATAAATTTTCCCTGTTCTTTTGCCCCCAATAAATTATCACCCACCACCAAAACACAAACAAAACACTACACTTCGATAAGTTCCAAAGAAAGGGGGAAATTTCCCACAAACTAAAACAATGATACACAAGCGAATGCAAGTAGCATTTGCTATAGAGGAATAAGGAATGTCCAAGGTTCCTGAATGATACCTTGTGATCAGTCATATTCGGATACTAGAGCAGGAAAGTCTCAGAGAAGAGCCAGTGCGGAGGGCATCGTAGATGAAACGGCGCCGTTGAAGGGTCTGAATCGGGAAACAAATGCAGGAGAGAGGAGAGACCAGGAAGGCAGCTGAAGACATGAAAATGCGGGCAGCGAGGAGAGCAGAGGGGAAGAGTCTTGCTTAGGGTTTCTCTCCCCCTCTCGTGATTTGGGAGGATTCCGTGGTTGGAGCTCAATAATGTATTTCAATGGCGGAAAAGAAAGGGTTTTGAAAAGATCATGAGAGAAAGAAGAGCCCAACGGTGACAATGTGGAGAGATAAATGCTCAGATTCTCCAATTTTCATTTCACTCTCAATCTACGGAAGTACGGAGTATATTGTGTTAAAATTAGATCCCAAACATAACTAGTGCGGAAAAGCCATGGTAAATAGTTGGAATAGTTGGAGGAGAGAATCTAAATTAAAACATTGAAAATATATTAAAATAGGATTTTCATATTTTTCATTTTCGAAATATGAGTTAAAGTGTACGTATTTACATTATCAAACATGGTCATGTACATAACCAAAAAATATAATAATGTGCATTTACAACTACATTACCACAGTGCGAAGTCACCGTTGGGGAACCTGCGCGACCATACACGATACATTCGAGTCATCGAGCGCACCTCTCCAGGTTCCTATGGTGAATCCACCAAGGGTGGCTACATGGTTTTCCATCGTCAGGGTTAGAAGGAGGCCCGCCATCCCTGGGGTTGGGTGGAAGTGAAGCACCACCGTCTTGACCACCAGAAACCATCACGAAGAAGTGAGTTGATCAGAACAAATGAGAAGTAATGGCAAAGCATAGAAGAAAATACAAAGTTGGATAGCAACTAAGGTGGTGAAGGTGAAGAGTCGGGTAAAGGAACAATTAGAGTGGTTGAAAAGCTAGGTAAATGAATAGTCAAAGTGGTAAGAGGCATTAATGACAATCAAATCGTGTGGTTGGCAACTGAAAACTTATCGGGGAAACCAAAGGGTCAGACAATCAAAAGGCGGAATGTCAGAGGCGAACAAAATAATACATAAAATCGGTCATAGATAAAAGAGCCCATTTCAAAATTCAATACAAGCGTTTAAATATTACATGGAAGGGCAAAGCACAACACAATTGTCGAAAATAAAGAGAGGGAAGCAAGGTTCGAGAAAGCCTAGGCCAGAGGAGCATCCGAACTCTGAACACAGTTAGCTTGAAGAACTTCGTCTGGCAGCGGGGTGCCCATGAATCTGGGTTCGGGCCGAGCTCGTCATTCGGATCTGGATCATGCATCTATGGAATATCAACTCCTGGCGAGGGAAAGGAGGGATCCACTATCCTAGTTCGCCGAATGACGAGCTTGATCTCGTGGTAGACGCTGGCCTCTAACCATTTCGACTCCTCAACCCCAATCTTCTTCAGGTCGACCTTAGTCTTCGCCCATTCATCGAAGTACTTGGGAAAATATTCCATCAGCACCTCTTTGAACGCAGGAGACTCAATGAATTTGGCCACGACTTTCTTCTTCTCGCGCTCGACTTACTCCGGATGAGAGATGGCCTCCACAAGCTCAATATCTAGCTCGGCCCTCCTCCCATCTGATTGATGGAGTTTCAACTCAAGGCTAGCCATCAAACTTATGAGCTGGGGCATGGACTCCTCCGCCTCTTTCAACAAACCTTGTAGCTTGACTACCTCCTCAAATTTGGACACGGCCTGGAGCTGGAGCTCTGACACTTGCTCATGGTGGGCCTCAAGAAGCTTTTTCAGGCGGCCAAGCTCTGTTTCAATAGAGGCTAAGAAGTTGGCCCCCGAGACGAACTTTGCACCTGACCGGCGGGAACTAAGAGCGTCCAACTGGGCCATTGCATATAAAACACGAGGTTAGTCGGCCAACAAATACTAAGAAACTGTCAACAACTAAATGACCTTATTTCCTACCTCCGCCAAAGTCTTTCACAAGGACAAAAGGATTTTGTCCTCGTCCTTCAGCATAAATGTCAAGAATCTAGCCTCGGCCTCTGCACAATCATCACCTTCCCCACAAGAAGTGCTGTGGAGGGAAGATTTTCTGCCCTTGGATTTTGGCAGGCGCATGGCCAGAACCGCATCCGATCTGAGAGAGTCGGAACTAGGACCTTCTTCCTCGTCTTTGGCTCCAATGACCCTCCTCCTCTTTTGTGCGTGGTCTAGAGCTTTGGTTGGGCTGGGGATGGTGACCACGGTAGACTCATGGAATTCTTGAGCCCCGCTCAACGACTGAGAATCCCCCCCCCTCCTCTTCCGCTCTAACCTTGGGCTGAGCCTTGGGTCACCAGCTTCTTCATAGAGCGAGCACAATGCATCTCACCTAAAACGGAAAATAAAGGTTAGTCGTTGGAGGATATTTTTTAAATAAGGAAGACAAAGGTACAAGACAAACCTTCATCATTTCCGTCTTCGGAGGGCGATTCGGCATCACTTTCCTCCTCGGGATCAGAAGGATGCATTTGCTCATCCTCGATCTAATGGTCATCCTCTGCCTCCTCGGAATCGGACTCCTCTTCATCCAATGTGATGGCTTCAATATTTTCGAGGCCACGCCTCAGTGACCACCTCGGCCAGCTCATATTGGCGGTCAAGTGAGACGAGGAACCCTGCTTTGCCCAGGTTCACCTTCGTACAATTATCGTACGCACTAGGAGGGTTAGGGCGACAGTCTGCCAATAGCTTCTCCGTGTACTTGAGAAGCTCTGTGGTGGCCTTGGGGAGGTGATGACGGATGAAGGAACGACACACAGGAAACCTTGCCAAGAAAGGGTGCTGATCCCCGGGGAAACCAGAAACAAAGACGAACTTTGATTTCCAAAGTTTGAGCGATGATGGGAACGTCACAAGACCATAGTCATTCCGGATTGACACATTGGAGTATGACTTCCACTCAATGTGTCCTGCCTGAGAAATCTTAAACCAAATACCTAAAGAGATCTAGAAAACAAGGGACCCCAGTGATCTGACACTTGATCAAAAAGCAAGAGAAATAGTAATATGAATGGGGAGCGAGCTGACAAGGGAGAAGACGATAGAAATTCAGGTACTGCACTATCAGCTGGTTTTGCGGAAACTTGAGGTCATACCGCGTTGACGCCACATGGACCCCGACTTCAGCATCGGGGAAGGTCACAGATAAGACGTGATTCATAGGATGGGGTTGGCGAATGACGTAGCCCTTCCCCACTAACCTAAGGTCTTCATTAAAATCAATATCCTGGAGTCAAAATCCCGTATTGGTGATCGAGGCGGTCTCCAATGTCATAACTGGCAAAGGTTTAGGGTTACGACCACATTTGGTCTTGGGTTTAGAACGGCGGGAATGTTTGTTCTTGCGAGACTCTTGGATGCGGGTATCATTTACCCCATTTCATATAGTCAGCGAGTGTCACCAATTTATGTTGTCCCGAAGAAAGGAGGGATGACAGTGACTAGAAATGACAAGGGTGAACTAGTTCCTGGGAGAACTGTGTCTGGTTGGCGGATGGTCATAGATTATAGAAAACTGAATGATTCCTTTAGGAAGGACCATTTCCTACTTCCCTTCATTGATCAATTAATTGAAAAGCTAGCCGGTCATGCATATTATTGTTTCTTAAATGGTATGAATGGATACTTCCAAATCAACGTCAATTTAAAAGACCAGGAGAAAACCACATTCACTTGCCCTTTTGGAACATTTGCCTTTCGGCGAATGTCCTTTAGACTTTGTAATGCCCCTGCCACCTTTTATGAGGTGTATGATTGCAATCTTTAAAAAGTTTATCGGGGACTTTATGGAAGTCTTTATCGATAATTGGTGGTCCCAAAATGGTGAGATACAAAGTCTAGAGGGGGGGGTGAATAGACTTTGTTACAAATTTAAAATATTTTTCGTTTTTTTGAAAACGTGAAAATGAGTGTTAATCTAGAGCTCTTGTGAACTTTAGATTGTGTGCGGAAGTTGGTGGGTTATTAGAGTAGTAATCAACATGGATGGGTTAGTTTCACAGTTAATATAATTGCAAGTATGAGTAGAGATAAAAGAGAGAGACACACAAACTTTAACGAGGTTCGAAGGTGGGGTAATCCTTCTACGTCCTCAAAATCCACTATGTAGTTGGTTGTTGAATAATGAACCAACAGTTACACTTGTGTGAATTTCTGCACGGTATATCTTCGCAAGGCCAATGTTGCTACTGCACACGTGCTGGCTTTGTTGTTCCTTCGAAGGTCACGCTTCTTCAACAACTGCAAGATCCGAACAATAGGACTTACAAGATCAACTTGTAGGAAAGTTGATCTACCCCCTTTTTAATCAAGAAGTTTGATTAAAAGTTGTATCCTTCAACGTGGTGTGGTACTTGAGGCAAGGAAACCTTCAAGTGTTTACAATATAGCTCTTTGGAAGGAGGAGAAGTTTGCTTCTGGATAAAGAGTTTTGAAATCTCTCTTTATCAAGCTTTTTGGCTAACTGTGAATGAGATAGCTTTGTTCTCGTTGTTGTTAGGTATTCGGTATTTTTCTCCAGTCTTCCATGGAAGTTATATATAGCTGGATTGGGTAATCTATCCGTTGAAGGGAATAGACTATCCGTTGCATTTGCTGGCTTCAATTTGAACGAAGGGTGAGATTGAGAATTCTTCATTGGAATGGGTGTTTGGACATACCCAATTGTTTGAAGAAGGATTTCTTTTTCACAGAATCCGTCCTTTAGATGTTGTTCAAGAATTCTGGATTGTAGCTCTTTATTGAGTGTAGTAGTCAGCCTGTCCTCTTGTGTTTGTTTAGGAATTCTGGGCGAGCTCTTCAATTTGAGAAGTCCAGACTTTGTCTTCAAGTCATTTGTTCTTGAATCCGCTTAATTATCCCCAATCTAGCCGTTGAAAATCAAGAGATGGATTTTTCCTTACCAACGGGTAGAATTTCTTCATTCATGACTTAGATATTTTCTAAGTCTTTTCTCACTAGTCTGCTTCTGAGAGTTCCGGTCTTCCTTGAGACATCCGGTTCTTTGCTGACAATTCCGGATAAGTCATTCTTAGACTTCCAGGTGAGAAAGAGATCCGTGCTAGTCTTCCGATCCGGATGACTTAGCCTTCAGCGGATTGTAGCGAGACATCCGGTTATCATGTAGTATTCCAAATTAGAGAATCTTCAAAGTAACCAACTGCTTTGAGAATTCCTTACTTGTCTCTGACATATCCGATCAAGAATTCTAATTTATATATCACTGAATTTGATTAAGTCTTCAAAGATTGACATCAAACCACAGAGTGAAATATCACATGCATGCCACATGTAATTTTGGAAGCAGACTCTTAAATTTTATATAAAACGATGTAATATTTGTAGAATTACTTTTAAACACGTAAATATTAAACATTTTTATACCTTTTATTCATTATTAACTTTTATCATAGTTTCCAAATTCTACGATATTTCTCTATAAATAAAGTGTGTACCATATAATAATATAAAAATTAAATTTTAAAATACACAATGCTAATTTTAAAATGGATCATAATTTTTTGTTAGACCTAAAAAAATTTTATTGTGTATGAAATGTTATTAACTCTCTCTTAAATAAACATGCCAATAAAAATCAATTTCTTTTAAAAAATTGTTTTTTTTTTCAAATTTGGAAACTAAAAGCACCTTTCAAAATTAAACATATTGGATTTTACAAAAAAACTAAACATTGAGAAATTCAAGAGGTAGGAGCGGAGTAATATACTACTGGGTACTGAATGAATACTTGTCACCGAAAAATTATTGCTCTTACATGTACTGACAAAATTTGTACAATCTATTATAGCAAACACAATAAATATTTGACCAAAACAAGTGATATAGGAAAACATAGGAGTAAATTGATTAAGCTAGTCTAAGCAACAAAAGTCAATTGTCCTATACATAATAAGCACCAGGTATGCCGTATGGGTATAATAAGATGTCTTGTTTGATCCTTATTAGATCTTCCTTACGAATCTCCTCTTCTGGTCTTTTTGGCCTAGCATTCAAACATTCTGTATTGAACAGATAAACATCAGCAAATAATATGACTGTGTTGACAAAAAAGGAAAAAAGACCAAAGTAGAACTAAAACATTGAAAATATACCAAAATAGGACTTCCATGTTTTTATTCCCGAAATAGGACTTAAATTACCAAACATGGTCATATACATTACCAAAAACGTATAGTAATGTGCACATGTACACTGCCACATTACCACAATGCATAGTCACATTACCACAGTGCGAAGTCCTATTTCGGGAAAAAAACATGAAAGTCCTATTTTGGTACTTTTCTCTATGTTTTAGTCCTATTTAGGGTGATTTCTAGACAAAAAAATGTATCAAAAAAAATTACATTTTTAAGAAAAATTAGTTGGCTGCATGTGGCAAGAACAAAAGCTTACCAAAATTTGGTAACATGCTAACCAGAGGTCAACTCAAGCATAACTACACTTCAAGGGTTTCTTCTTGATCAGTAGATGACCTTGCCATAACAGCCCAAAGTTTTAGTTATGGAACTTTTGTAACCTGCAAGAGTGCATAATGGAAACAAGGCTACCTTGGAATCTTCATGCAACATGACGGTAGTAGAAGTGCCAGGAAGTGTAGGGTTATTTTTGGAAAGTGGTTTAGTTGAGGAACTATCATCATCAGTTTCTGTTGAAGAGGGTAGGTTTTCAGCACCATGAGAAGCAGAAAACTGATCGGGAAGGATGTTCTCCAAGCCTCTATTTGAAGCAATTGTTAGATCAAATCATTAGACAGAGTATAAATAAATACTCCCATATAGAGATATATTTTAACTTTGCACCCCCCCTCCCCACCCCGTGGTTTACCACTTTACCATGCTATAAGTCCTTGGCTTCGATCAAAGTCAAATATTCTCCCTCCGTCCAAAAAGAACTTCATGTTTATTATTCACAAAGTCAAAAATTGACATTTTTCTAAACCTATTTTCATTACTACTACAACAACCTAGTACGATTCCAATTTTGTTGTGGGTCGGGGGTCAAAAGGTACGCAATCTCTATCCCTTTAAAAACAGTAATGCTGTTTCCATTAGACTCTAGATGCATATTTTTGTATTTACTACCCAAGACCTCACAGAATGTATGAAACAAGGAAGGTTTTACGTTCCATTTTTATTTACTGCACAATGTGCCTTAAAATAAAACATTGTCAAAAAATGAGATCTGTAGCTCCATTACGTTCTTATTTTCATTACTCGTTTGATAAAATATTATAGTATTGTCTCTTCTTTTTTTGTAGAATACTTATGTAAATATATAATTACTACAAGTAAATTTTATGCCAATTTCACATAAATTAAATTTAAAAAAATATCATGAAATATCATCATAGTCTTTCTCGGACAGGGAGTACCTGCAAAGTGTAATGAAATAAAGTAAGGAGGGGGTGGGTGTTAAAGTCTAAAAGGGCCCGCCTTGGTAAATCACGAGATGCAAAGTCAAACTTTCCCATATAAGTATAAAACAAGAGAAATTGCCATCATAGTTTTAAAAAGATATGAAAATTGACCTTTTTTGAGAATCAGAGCTATCAGGGATACTATGTTGTTTATGGCCACCACTATTTTCATCACCACTATTGATCTCTTCTTTACTTGCTGCCTGGCTATCCTTATTTTCTGGTGCCACAAAAAAAGGTTTCAAATCTGAATGCAAGAAAAACTAATTATGCAACAGACGGTAAGTTCATCTCTAGTAAACTACAAAAAGAAGAGAATATAAAGAACTAACCTGCTGTAACTTTATGAGTGAAATTAGGATGGTTTGGTGACTGAGAGAGTGGAATGATGGGCGAAGAGCCAGTCTGGAACTCATCACAATAACCTTTGTTTTTATTCTTCTCATCCATAAGTTGCAAATCCATTAACCTTCTACTATGTAGCTGGATGGCTCTCTGCAAATGAGCTTCCTGCTCTAACATTCTTCTGAGTGTAGCCTCCTTTGACCTATGAAACATTCTTGGTCCTATAAAAGAACAAAGGAGACACTCAGAAAATGCATTTAAAATCGGAAGACAGCGTTATTCAGAGCTTACCGAATGGAATGTCAAGGGGCTCACTGGAATCACGACTGGATGGGCCCAAGCAAGACGGTAACTTTGCTACGTCCATATGGTTCTGTTTTTGCTTCCTATAAAATGGGAAACTCTAATCACTAACTGTAGGGGAAGCAAGAATCTCTCAATGTAGTTCTGCATTTTAGATAAGGTGTACCTATTCTTGTCCGGGACTTTTCCCATTTCCTTGTAAGGTTTAACAAGCACGCGAGAATCACACACGAAATGAGGGTTTCCTTTGGCCAAGATGAGCTTCACAGTATCCGGGTAGACAAATGTGACAAAACCGAACATGCGCTTCTGCTGGTATGGAATTCTAACATCTTGCACCGGCCCATACAGACTTCAAACATTAAAAAAACAAACGCAATGAGATCAAATGAACAATTTCCAACTGTAATGCACAGTATAATAATTTCATAATCATTTAATTACCTAAAGTAGTTAGAAACATCATCTTCACTAAATGTGCTATCAGCAGGAAATGTCAAGTAAATCTGGCAAGAGCTCGGATTCAAGTGCCCATCAGATTGGCCTCCAGAAAGACCAATTCCCACATGTGACAAACTGCAATTCAGCAAACAAAGGTGACTCCAGTTCAGACTTTGTAAAGTTCACTAATTGCAATGAAATGAATAATGGGCATTCACTAATTGCTATACTATAGACGGAAAAAAAAATCCAAAAAAGGGCAAATGCAGGCATAAAAAGTCAATTCAATTTAGGATCAAAATTCCCATAATAGAAGAAGCAAAAATTCTGCCAAGATCACTCCAAATATAACCAAACTCAGCAAGAAATTATTAATTTCTTTAAATATCGGCCTAAGCAATGATTTTATAAATAAATAAATAAATAAATAAGAGCAGCGGAAAAGAACAAACTACCTTGAGTTCTCGTTCAAATTGCTCATACAGTCATTGTAAGTGAGAAGGGGGTGACCACCACTAGAAGCCATAAGAGCAGTGGATAACCTCTGCCGCTGAAGGGCTTTTAGGCGAAGAATGTCATCCAAAGAATCAACTTTGGCAGGCAAATCAACGGATGCAGTCGAAGCACCATGCAGAAACTTGCGATTGAAAACCTCATTCTGATTTCGGGGCTGGTGCTTTAAGCGGTTTGTGTCGGAAGAAGGAAGAAACCCCAGAGAATGGCAAGTGGACTCCACGCCGCCACAAAACGAAAGAGGACCCGAAGAACCCGGGATCCCGGGAACGGGGCTTCTCGGGAAACGAAACCCGTTTTGGGGAAGCGTGATCCTTGGGGAAAATGGGCCTAAAGTAGCGGAGGAAGGAGAAGGCGGCGAATCTGAAGACGAAGTGTTCGACGAAAGTCCCAAGAAAGCTTTGGCTTCAGTGATGAGGGACAGAAGAAGAGCGTCCGGGCCATGAGCTAATCTGATGATATCCTTGTCGCCGTGATCCTGAATCAGAATGAAACCCATAATCTTGGAAGCATTTTGCGGGTCGAAGCTTTGAATTCTTGAGAGGACTTTGTTGGCAGCCTCGAGAGTATCCATGGCTGCTGCTTGGGTGAGAGAGCTCAGTCAGTGAGGAGGGGAAGATGAAGTGTTTGAAAGTACGTACGTACAATGACACAATTGGGGAAGGCTTTGAACTGTTTGATGAAGACTTGAAGTGGGTGGACTGAGGAGAGTAGGGTTGTGGGCCCATGGGTCAAAACGTAACTGTTCGACCAGTTCATATGAAAACTTTACGCGTGGTTGGAGAGGGGTTCATGCTTTTTGACACTTTTCCACACTATCTTCTCGATCCACGACACCGAATAAATTACTGTAATTACATACGCCCTCCAGCCCCATCCCTTCACTCTTCTTAAATTTTCTCCACTCGTAGTTTAATTTACTCTACTCGTATTTAAAAATAATGATGATTGAATGAATGACTAGTTGATTTACGCAATTCACTATCATTATCCGTATTTTAATTTAATTCAAAATTATTAGATCATTTATAATCTATGGACTCTGTTCCTAGCACAATCTGTATCAGTTATCATTTTTAATTTATTTTGTATCATGTTAGAGCACTGGGGATACTCCTCACGCCCACCGGCGTTACGGGGCGTTTAAAGCCCCGGGGGCGTGAAACACCGCCTCCCGCCGACATTAAAGGGGCGTGAGGAGCCCCGCGTCAAACGAATGAGGCGCCGTGATTCTTCTCCCCCTCCCTCCTAACGGCTTTTTTAGCCGTTGCAGCCCAAATTTCAAAAAAAAAAAAATTTCCTATAAAGTCTACCCCCAACCAATCTCTCACACCTTCTCTTCAATCTCTTCTTCTTTCTTATTTTTAAATTTCAAAATTCAAACCCCCCCTCCCAATTTTCAACATCAATCCTTCCGGCTCCGGCTTCATTCCCGACGATCTCCCGCCGAGTGACGCAGCGATGTGGTTCTACTAAGAGTGGGGCGATCGACCGCCGATCTACGAGACGCAACAATCGGGGTACGTCGACCGAGATTCGGTTCCTTCCGGATTAATTATATTTTATTAATTTAATTTTAGAAGATGTATATTTAAAAATGTAAAAAATGAAGGTTTGAAGCCCCGGGGCTTCAAACCCATTTCCAGTGAATTTTGGGTGTAAGTTAAAGCTGACGTGGCAGAGAGAGAAAGTTTGAAGCCCCGGGGCTTCAAACGTATTACCAGTGCTCTTAAAACAACGGCGGCAATGTTATTGCTCATTCACATTTCTTTATTTATTTTTCACTATTCATCATTTTTTTATTAAAAACTTACTCCCTCCGTCATAAATCAACCTTACCACATTGACTTTTTCCCATTTTTAAGGACTTCATATTTTAACCTTTGACTTCTCATTTTGCCCCTTACTAAAAATTTTAGGAAATTTTTTTAAGGCTAATTAAAAAAAGGTAAAAGAAGGGATTTAATAAAGGAAAAAACACACTAAAACATTTAAAAGGAAGCAATCCACGGTACATTTAGCCCAAAAATCATAGGCATCCACTTTTACAAATTTCATGTTCAACCAAATACAATAAGGAGGGAAAGTTCTAAAAATTTCCCTCCCAAACAAAAACAAAAAATCCCACCAAAGCCTATTCTATAAATAGGAGCATACTTTCCACTTTTAGAAAGGGAATCCCTAGCCAACTTTTTTTCCTCTTTAATGTCTGCTCCTGGTCCTGAACCTCCTCTTGCGTATGCTGCTGCTGCTGCCAGCATCCCGACAGCTGCTGCGACCATCCCGATTGCTGCTGCGACCGTCCCGACTGCTGATGCGACCATCCCAACCATCCCGACTGCTGCTGCGACCATCCCGACTGTCCCGACTGCTGCAGCGACCATCCCGACTGCTGCAGCGACCATCCCGACTGGTGCACGACCATCCCGAGTGCTGCTGCTGTCCTTCAACCAGGCAGAGATGAGGACCTGCGAAGAGAACAAAGATCATGCAGGACCAGACTATCAAACAGTCAAAGGCAAAGAATTGTAGAAGCAATCCTACCATATGCAAAAAAAATTCAGGTGAGTACACAACTCAGAAAGGAATAATCGGCAAGGTTGCTCATGAATTCAATGTTTCCAGAAGAAGCATAGGAGACATATGGAGCAGAGCTAGAAAACAGTTAAAGGAGGGAGTTGCCATTGATGTCAAAAGTAAGGTGTATGGGAATACTAGTAGGAAAAGAGTGGTCATAGATGTAGAATCTATCCCAAACATTCCTCTAGCCCAAAGGACAACCATCAGATCACTAACTGCTGCACTTGGTATGTCTAAATCTACTGTCCATCTTTGCATCAAGAGAGGTTTGCTAAGAAGTCATTCAAATGCAATTAAACCTCTTCTAACAGATGGAAACAAGCTTCAAAGATTGCAGTTTTGTTTGAATCAGTTAGAACCCACAAGCATCCCTTGTAATCCCAAGTTCAGAAGTTTTCATAATGTTCTCCACATGGATGAAAAATGGTTTTTTATGTCCAAAACATCACAGAAATATTATTTGGCCAACTCTGAAATGGATCCTTACAGAACTTGTAAGTCAAAGAGATTCATCACCAAGATCATGTTCTTATGTGTTGTTGGTAGACCATTATTTTCAGACAATGGAGAAGTATTGTGGGATGGGAAAATTGGAATATTTCCTTTTGTTGAGACTGTGGCAGCTAAAAGAAAGAGCAAGAATAGAGAGGCTGAGGTTTTGGAAATGAAACAATTACTCAGTGTTACCAAAGAGGTGACAAAAGATATGTTAGTGAACCAAGTTATACCAGCAATCTATGAGAAAAGGCCATCTTTCTTAGACAGAAGCATTGTGCTTCAGCAAGACAATGCCAGACCCCACATTTCTGGGACAAACCAAGACTTCATGACAGCAGGAAATGCAAATGGTTTCAACATTACATTAAGTAACCAACCCCCTAACTCCCCAGACCTAAACATACTTGACTTGGGGTTTTTTAGAGCCATCCAATCTCTGAAAGAGAAGTATGCTCCAAAAAATCTGGCAGAACTTGTGGAAGCAGGGGTGCATATGTAGCTCTTACAACAGAGACATTGAACAAGGTATGGTTAAGCTACCAAGATGTGATGCAGCAAGTTATGAATGATGAAAGAGGAAACAAGTACAAATTACCACATATGGCCAAGGATAGATTGGCTAGACAAGGAGCATTACCTGTTGAACAACTTACGCACCTCTAGAGGGGGGTGAATAGAGGTGTTCTTCAAAAAAACAAAACTTTTGGAAGAACAAAAATTCGCAGGAGTATATCAACCACAAGAACACAAAGATGAAGAGAAGGAGCAACACACGATGTATCCTGGTTCGGCCTAATGCCTACATCCAGTCCCCGAAGCAAACGTGCCCGAGATTCCACTAACTTTGTCAAACTTAACGGAGTTTGACAATCCGATTACAACTCGAGAACTTGAATTCGCAAGCCTCTAACCTTTCCACCGAAGTCTTGATTTCACAAGACTCGGGATTTCTCTCCAAAACTTGAATTATATCAACTTCAAGTTTTTACAATTCACACACCGTTTCAAAACAAAATGCACAGCGGAAATACTCTTCAAATTAAGAGTGGATTGCTTTAGAATACAAGAACTTATAGAGTATGGCACACTAGTACTCTTCAAAACTCAAGCAAATATTGATTTCTTGAAGAATTGCTTGGAAGTAATGTTGAAGAATCAAAAGTATGAATTGAATTGCTTGTGTTAGTCGGTTTAAACGTTGTGCCCACGCCTTAGAGGGGGGGGGTGAATAAGGCGTTTAAAAACTTTTCGGAGTTAAGTAAAAATGGTGTTGGCAAATGCGGAAGCAATATATAAAACGCAGAAATAAAAGCGTAAATAAAATGCACACCAATTTTATACTGGTTCGGGAACTCCCTACTCCAGTACCTCAAGGCTCCTCCTCAAGGATTTCCGAATCCACTAAGTCTCGGCCTCTTGAACTCCGTCAAAGCACCGCACTAGTTTTGGCAAACAACCCTTGCCAATAGGATTCACTCCGAGATTTCACAACGGCTATCTCGAACCGTTTACAATGAAGATTTAACGGCTATCTTCTACCGTTCCCCCAAGGATTTCAAAGGCTATCCTTGAACCTTTACCCAAGGATTTATACGGCTATCCTTGACCGTTACAACGTGAGAATTTAACGGCTATTCTCGACCGTAAGAAGGTGTGTTTGAAGAACACAAAAGAGGATTCTACACAACGCCTAGAATATAAAAATGAAGAACAAAACTTAGCCGGTGTAGAAAGAAAGTATACTCTCTCAAAAATACAATTAAAACTTATGAATATGAGAGTATATAACTAGAAACACAAGCTCAAAGTGTGTGTATAAAAATCAGGAATTTAAGGCTCTTGAAATAGCCAAAATATTGAAAATAATTAATAAAAGGATGAACACACTTAGAATAAAAAGAGAGGATGTTTAGAGCTTTGTTTCTTTAAAGAAATATGAAGGATTAGGCTTGTATTTATAGTGGAAGATGTTAATTAGCCGTTGGGAGGTGATTAGGGTTGATTTAATTCAAAAAGGCAATTTTGCTACAGTGCTGTAACAGATCCGGTAGGCAGGTGCCGTTCACACGGTATCATGGTACCGTTCGTTCGGTAGGGGGTACCGTGAGAGGCGGTACCTCAGTACCGTGTAGCACAAAACTTTGGTTCGCCTCTGGCGGTACCTGGTTATGACGGGGGTACCCAGCCGGTTCAGCCTACCGTACGGTACCAAGGTACCGTTGCACGGTATAGGGGTACCGTGTAGGCGGTATACCCTACCGTTTGGGGTACCGCTAGGGGTACCGTGCCACTGTCCTGATTTTTCCAAAATTCCCGTAATCCTTCGTGTTTGAGTTTAAAATCTTTTAGATGTTTGAAAATGTTTATGGGATGGTTTTAAACATATTTTGTGAGTGCTTTTGAGCTTGTGAATATAGGTATATAAAGTCATATCCTTACATTGGTTTCTACCTATATTCTACGCTAGTTTAGTGTTTCGACTTCATTCTTGAGTACCGAATCTTAATGGATTCTTGTTTTACCTGAAACACTTAAACAAACGTTAAGCTCTTATATTGTTTGTTAACATCAAAACATGAGGCTTAGCAAACCAAGGCTAACAATCTCCCCCTTTTTGATGTTGACAAACAATATACTTCAAAGTGAGTTAGGCGGGAGTATAAAAATGAAGCAAGCAAGCTCCCCCCTAAGAATAAGCATATTTAAAATACTCACTTTAAACTTTTTCTTGTGTTTATTAAAAGTTTACGTTTGATGCAAAAGTTTACACAAGAATGCACTCAAGTCAAGTTGCATATGCACCACTTTGAAGTATACATCTTCTCCCCCTTTTGTCAAAATCAAAAAGGGCGTTTTTGAAAATTTTAACCATGTATAACTTCTTGAAACCCTCCCCCTATCAAAATGAATTTTTAGGAAAAATGATAGTTTGGAGATCATTGGGCAAAAGGTGCATTTACAACAAAACTCTCGCTAAAAACAAAAACTCCCCCTAAAATGATGCAAGTTTAAAAACTTTATTTTTTCCAGGGGTTTTTAGGGTTTATTTTCTAAAAAGTATGATTTAAAGATGAAAAAAATTTAATCATGCAAACCAAGGCTAAAGCAAATAAAAACATGTATGGGATAAGGTTTTATTTTTGAAAATACTTAAAACCAAACAAAATTTCTTATCCCAATAAGTGAGAAGAACTTACCTTAGCTTATGCCGCTCTTTCTTCGGCTTTTTATACGTTTCTTTCCTCTTCACATACTCCTTCCATTTGAGAAAATCCGTATACTTCTTTCTCATTTCCTTCTCTTCGTCTTCTTCATCATCCGACTCTTCCGTAGAGCTTGAGTCGCTTGAATCATCACTTGATTCACTTGACTCTTCACTAGACGAATCTTTTGAAGCTTTGAAGGCGTTGGTAAGCTTGGGATTTTCACGCATTTCTTCCTCTTTGATCTTTCTCAACAAAAGCTCGTGAGAATATAAGGAAGACCAAATGTGGGCGGTTTCGACCTTATCACATTTGGGTAATAAATCTACTATACTACTATGCCATTCTTTTGGTAAAGAAAATAGAATTTTCGTATTAAGCTCGGAAGTAGTATA